GGTGTGATCCTGGGGTATTACAGGGGAGGGTGTGATACCGGGGTATTACTAGGGGGGTGGGTGTGATACTGGGGGGTAGGGTGTGATACTGGGGTATTACTGGGGAGGGTGTGATAGTGGGGTATTACTGGGGAGGCTGAGTACCTCCGCCAATCGATGCTCCTAGCACTTGCCGTGGACTCCAAGCACTCCAACCGACACCATCAGCACTGTGGACCCCACTTCCAGTGATGCAGCTGCACCGGGGTCTCGTCGTCTCTCACCCACCCTGGATCCTCGACCAGGATCCAGCTCCCAGTGGGTGAACCTCTCCTAAATCCAGAGAGCGTAGCAGGAACAAATCAAGCTCTTACAAGAGCTGATTCTGGGGAGTAAGTGATTATAGCAATCCCCAGAGTGTAGGTATCCCTTCGCCCAAGCAGGCGCCAAGGCTTCAAGAAAGGTGCAAGTAGGTCTGGTTTATTGAGGACTACCTGCCCGGTATTTATGCAAGTGTCCACCAGGTGGACACTCCCCTAGGGGACCTGATGGAACAATGGGACACATATTGGATATTAGCCAATCACAGACAATACAAACAAAACACTCCCACAGTGACATCACAATCCCTCCTCTCTATCCTGGAGATAATTGGGAAGTAATCAAATTATCTCCCAAGACAGAAGCAAGACTCCATTATCCACATGGTTACAAAAAGACATAAAATTACACAATGTTACAATTACTACATAAAACATATACATGCAACATATCCCCAGATAGCTTAGATCTGAGTGCACATTATTACCGAATGGCACTCAGATCACCTACATACAGTTCAATCACCATGGAGCCAAAGTCTTTTCCATAGTCTTTCGTTACACGAACAGGCTCCATGGCATAGCTATCTGGGGTAGCACTACTCACATACTGAAAGTCCCAAACGCCCCTGCAGAAATACACAAATAAACCTTTCTGCAGGGGAAAATACAGCTATCAGCACATGGGCCATAGTCGGAAGGCAGGAGGCTAGTGGCGAAGGGCACTTCGTCACAGTGTGATACTGGGGTTTTACTGGGGAGGGTGTGATACTGGGGTATTACTGGGAAGGGTGTGATAGTGGGGTATTACTGGGAGGGTGTGATACCGAGGTATAACTGGGAGGGTGTGATGCTGGGGTATTACTGGGGAAGGTGTGATACTGGGGTATTACTGGGGAGGGTGTGATACTGGGGTATTACTGGGGTTGGTGTGATAGTGGGGTATTACTGGGGAGGGTTTGTTACTGAGGTATTAATGGGGAGGGTGTAATAGTGGGGTATTACTGTGGAGGGTGTGATACTGAGGTATTACTGGGGATGGTGTGATGCTGGGGTATTACTGGGGAGGGTGTGATGCTGGGGTATTACTGGGGAGGGTGTGATGCTGGGGTATTACTGGGGAGGGTGTGATACTGGGTATTACTGGGGTGTGATACTGGGGTATTATTACTGGATAGGGTGTGATCCTGGGGAATTACTGGGAAGAGTGTGACCCTGGGGTATTACTGGGGAGGGTGTGATACTGGGGTATTACTGGGGTGGGTGTGATCATGGGGTATTACTGGGGAGGGTGTGATACTGGGGTATTACTGGGGAGGGTGTGATAGTGGGGTATTACTGTGGAGGGTGTGATACTGAGGTATTACTGTGGAGGGTGTGATACTGAGGTATTACTGGGGAGGGTGTGATACTGGGGTATTACTGGGGAGGGTGTGATGCTGGGGTATTACTGGGGAGGGTGTGATACTGGGTATTACTGGGGTGTGACACTGGGGTACTATTACTGGATAGGGTGAGATCCTGGGGTATTACTGGGGAGGGTGTGATACTGGGGTATTACTGGGGTGGGTGTGATCATGGGGTATTACTGGGGAGGGTGTGATACTGGGTATTACTGGGGTGTGATACTGGGGTATTATTACTGGATAGGGTGTGATCCTGGGGTATTACTGGGAAGGGTGTGACCCTGGGGTATTACTGGGGAGTGTGTGATACTGGGATATTACTGGGGTGGGTGTGATACTGGGGTATTACTAGAGAGGGTGTGATACTGGGTATTACTGGGGAGGGTGTCATAGTGGGGTATTACTGGGGAGGGTGTGATACTGGGGTATTACTAGAGAGGGTGTGATACTGGGTATTACTGGGGAGGGTGTGATACTGGGGTATTACTGGGGAGGGTGTGATACTGGGCTATTATTAGAGAGGGTGTGATACTGGTTATTACTGGGGAGGGTGTCATAGTGGGGTATTACTGGGCAGGGTGTGATACTGGGGTATTACTCGAGAGGGTGGGGTACTGGGCATTAAGGAGGAGGGTTATTGTGCGATACTAGAAGTGATAGGACATTTATAAGGGATATTAATAGAGAGCTATTAAAGGTCAGGTGATATTAGAGACAGAAAATGAAGTTGAGGGGAGGGTATTTGCGCTGGATTTGGGGTGTTGGAAGTTGAGGGATTATTGGGGGAGGGTATTTGCGCTGGATTTGGGGTGTTAGAAGTTGAGGTATTATTGGGGGAGGGTATTTGCGCTGGATTTGGGGTGTTAGAAGTTGAGGTATTATTGGGGGAGGTTATTTGCGCTGGATTTGGGGTGTTAGAAGTTATGGTATTATTGGGGAGGGTATTTGCGCTGGATTTGGGGTGTTGGAAGTTGAGGTATTATTGGGGGAGGATATTGGTACTGATATTAGAGAATTCTACTAAGGGGGAAAATTTGCGCTGAAGGTTGGGGTGTCACAGGATATTTTTGGTAAGGGGGTTTGGCGCAGACGGTGGAGTTTAGAGAATATAATTAGGGAGCGTTGATGCTAAATGTAGAATGTTGTAGAGCGTATTATTGGGAAGGATTGTGGTGCTGAAAGTTGGGGTGTTAGAGGTGGAATTGCTGGAGTTTTGGGGAGCACTGTTACTGCCAGGCTATTGTTTAATCTGTTATTGACCTTTGTGTTCTCTCTTCTAGGATTCCTGCAGCCTCCGAGAAAATGGCTGTAAGTCCCAAACCACAATCCAGCATGTCTCCTTCACTGTACCCTCCTCGCTATGCGTGTCTCAGTCAGTGTTCTCTCCTCGCTATGTGTGTCTCAGTCCGTGTTCTCTCCTCGCTATGTGTATCTCAGTCCGTGTTCTCTCCTCGCTATGTGTGTCTCAGTCTGTTTTCTCTCCTCGCTATGCGTGTCTCAGTCTGTGTTCTTTCCTCGCTATGTGTGTCTCAGTCTGTTTTCTCTCCTCGCTGTGCGTGTCTCAGTCCGTGTTCTCTCCTCGCTATGCGTGTCTCAGTCTGTGTTCTTTCCTCGCTGTGCGTGTCTCAGTCCGTGTTCTCTCCTCGCTATGCGTGTCTCAGTCTGTGTTCTTTCCTCGCTATGTGTATCTCAGTCCGTGTTCTCTCCTCGCTATGCGTGTCTCAGTCTGTGTTCTTTCCTCGCTGTGCGTGTCTCAGTCCGTGTTCTCTCCTCGCTATGCGTGTCTCAGTCTGTGTTCTTTCCTCGCTATGTGTATCTCAGTCTGTGTTCTCTCCTCGCTGTGCGTGTCTCAGTCTGTGTTCTCTCCTCGCTATGTGTGTCTCAGTCCGTGTTCTCTGCTCGCTATGTGTGTCTCAGTCTGTGTTCTCTCCTCGCTATGCGTGTCTCAGTCCGTGTTCTCTCCTCGCTATGCGTGTCTCAGTCCGTGTTCTCTCCTCACTATGTGTGTCTCCGTCCGTGTTCTCTCCTCGCTGTGTGTATTTCAGTCCGTGTTCTCTCCTCTCTGTGTGTCTTAGTCCGTGTTCTCTCCTCGCTGTGCGTGTCTCCATCCGTGTTCTCTCCTCGCTATGTGTATTTCAGTCCGTGTTCTCTCCTCGCTATGTGTATCTCAGTCCGTGTTCTCTCCTCACTATGTGTGTCTCAGTCCGTGTTCTCTCCTCACTATGTGTGTCTCAGTCTGTTTTCTCTCCTCGCTGTGTGTGTCTCAGTCCGTGTTCTCTCCTCACGTGTTCTCTCCTCACTAGTGTGTGTCTCAGTCCGTGTTCTCTCCTCACTATGTGTGTCTCAGTCCGTGTTCTCTCCTCACTATGTGTGTCTCAGTCCGTGTTCTCTCCTCGCTATGCATGTCCCAGTCTGTGTTCTTTCCTCGCTGTGCGTGTCTCAGTCCGTGTTCTCTCCTCGCTATGCGTGTCTCAGTCTGTGTTCTTTCCTCGCTATGTGTATCTCAGTCCGTGTTCTCTCCTCGCTATGCGTGTCCCAGTCTGTGTTCTTTCCTCGCTATGTGTGTCTCAGTCTGTGTTCTCTCCTCGCTATGTGTGTCTCAGTCCGTGTTCTCTGCTCGCTATGTGTGTCTCAGTCTGTGTTCTCTTCTCTCTGTTTGTGTCTCAGTCCGTGTTCTCTCCTCGCTATGTGTATATCAGTCCGTGTTCTCTCCTCGCTGTGCGTGTCCCAGTCTGTGTTCTCTCCTCGCTATGTGTGTCTCATTCCGTGTTCTCTCCTCACTGTGCGTGTCTCAGTCCGTGTTCTCTCCTCGCTATGTGTGTATCAGTCCGTGTTCTCTCCTCGCTGTGCATGTCTCAGTCTGTGTTCTCTCCTCGCTGTGCGTGTCTCCGTCCGTGTTCTCTTCTCGCTGTGTGTATTTCAGTCCGTGTTCTCTCCTCTCTGTGTGTCTTAGTCCGTGTTCTCTCCTCGCTGTGCGTGTCTCCATCCATATTCTCTCCTCGCTATGTGTATTTCAGTCCGTGTTCTCTCCTCGCTATGTGTATCTCAGTCCGTGTTCTCTCCTCGCTATGTGTGTCTCAGTCCGTGTTCTCTCCTCGCTGTGCGTGTCTCAGTCCGTGTTCTCTCCTCTCCTTTCTGCCAACATACTACACAGGACTTTATGATTAATATACATTTCATATAATCCCACTGCCTGCACTCTATATTCTCACATTGTCTTGTTTACAGGCTCTCACAGCTCCCGCTGTCTCGTCGTCCGCAGCCACCACCACCACCACTGAGCTGGCTGTTCCTCTCCCTGGGGTCGTATTCCTTGCCGTCTCATTGTATCTCATTGTGTTGCTGTTTCTTCTTCTCCTTCATCAGTGTTTAAAGGTGAGAATGTTTCCTCAGCTCGGCCATTTCTTTCTGTTCAATCATTTTCCTGACTATCTTTTATATCTGCTCTTTCTCTTACAGGCCCGAGGGTGCTGCCCATCATGTATGGGTTGGCAGAGGGTTGGTGAGCTGGGAGTTTGTGATATGTGCGTGAGCTGTGCCCAGTCATGTGATTGCAGAGTCCCCTCGGTCACAAGGTGTATGGACAGCTGCTGTCCCTCTAAGAAGGTGAGCTCCACATTGTCTCACTTTACGTACAAGGAAGGGGAACATGTTTGGGTACAATACAGGAAAGTGATGGAGTCTGGGATGTAATAGATCTTTTCATTGATTTGCACAAAAGACCCCCCTTCACTCCTGCATCCCTTACCTGGCATTTTCCCACTCTCTCCCCTACCCCTTTTCCATGGCCTTTTCCCTCCTTTGCCACTTAGCTATCCTTCTCCCCCTTCACCACTCCCTTTGATTGCCCCTTCCCTAGCCTTTTCCTTTTCTGGCCTTTTCCCTCCCTTGCCCCTTCCCTAGCCTTTCCCCCTTCTTCTTTTTTTCCTACCCTTCCATTTTTGCTCTTTCCCTGACCTTACATGGTTCCATTTTGTGTGATAGTATAATTGGGAGGTTTTCTCTCTGGGATTTAGTCTATTGCTGCTTCCTGACCATCTCTCTCTCCATCTATCAGTGTTGTGGAGATTGCCGCTGTCCGTCAAGTTGTCCTCTCTGTGACTTCGCCTGCACTTACCAACCGCCTGACTGCAACCTCATCAACTGCATCTGCTTTGAGATAAAGCTCCGGTGATGGTAGCGGTGAGGCCGTGAGACTTGCATCTCCAAGAGTGGACTTCTGTAGGAAATGTGCTGCTCCTGAGCTGTGTGAATCCTTTCATCTCTTTGTGTTCTCGATCCCACTTACCTAGGAGTGCGGTCTTATCGACCTGTGTTTTAGTCTGTCCTTTCTCCAATGTTTTATCTTTCAGGATAATTGGGGCATAGGCGTTCTTACCTGTTATGAAGCAACAAACCGCTGTTATAATGGGTAATCTACTCCTACTACAACCCATGTGGCCAACTGATTCAAACCTCCTTTTCCCTCAGTCTGCCGTAGCAAAGGATCATGGGACTTGCTGATTTTAACTTTCGCACAGGTCTATTCCACCCGAGCAGGAGTTTCCAAATTTGAGGCCTTTTTTTTTTTTTTTTTTTAAATATTCAGACTAATGAAATTGGTGGCCAAAGGAAAAAAGTGCATACTGGACCAATAATGTCTAATCAAGTTTTAAAGTGTTTGTATTTATATTTTCTTACTTTAAATGAACTTTTTGTTTTTATTTTGGAATGAAAGTATGTCCTTTATTTAAAACTATATATTTTTGTAACTATTTTTGTGCATTAAAATGTTTTTAGTATTTCCAAAGAAAATGCTTTATTTTTGTAACACAAATTTCGTTTTTGAATTGGTGCATTTAGAGATGGGGGGTTCAGTGCAGAGAGCTGCTCAGTTAGTTGCATGGTTCTGTTCAGTGATTGACAGAGCTTAGTTCAATAAGAGCAGCTGGGTTTACTACTGCCAGGTTTGAATTTATGTCTCCGCAGTGCTGGAGTGTTCCATCATCAGTCTGTGGAGTAGTGATTAAAGAGGACTATTTTAACTTATAAACAACTATATAGTTCAGTGCTCAGTCTATGGAGAGCTGGATGGTTCGGTGTTTAGTCTATGGAGAGCTGCAGGGTTCAGTGTTCAGTCTATGGAGAGCTGGATGGTTCAGTGCTCAGTCTATGGAGAGCTGCAGGGTTCAGTGTTCAGTCTATGGAGAACTGCAGGGTTCAGTGCTCAGTCTATGGAGAGCTGCAGGGTTCAGTGTTCAGTCTATGGAGAGCTGCAGGGTTCAGTGCTCAGTCTATGGAGAGCTGCAGGGTTCCATGTTCAGTCTATGGAGAACTGCAGGGTTCAGTCTATGGAGAGCTGTAGGGTTCAATGTTCAGTCTATGGAGAGCTGCAGAGTTCACTGCTCAGTCTATGGAGAGCTGCAGGGTTCAGCATTCAGTCTATGGAGAGCTGCGGGGTTCAGCGTTCAGTCTATGGAGAGCTGCAGGGTTCAGTGCTCAGTCTATGAAGAGCTGCAGGGTTCAGTGCTCAGTCTATGGAGAGCTGCAGGGTTCAGTGCTCAGTCTATGGAGAGCTGCAGGGTTCAGTGCTCAGTCTATAGAGAGCTGCAGGGTTCAGTGTTCAGTCTATGGAGAGCTGCAGGGTTCAGTGCTCAGTCTATGGAGAGCTGCAGGGTTCAGTGCTCAGTCTATGGAGAGCTGCAGGGTTCAGTATTCAGTCTATGGAGAGCTGGATGGTTCTGTGTTCAGTCTATGGAGAGCTGGATGGTTCAGTGCTCAGTCTATGGAGAGCTGCAGGGTTCAGTGCTCAGTCTGTGGAGAGCTGGATGGTTCAGTGCTCAGTCTGTGGAGAGCTGGATGGTTCAGTGCTCAGTCTGTGGAGAGCTGCAGGGTTCAGTGCTCAGTCTATTGAGAGCTGGATAGTTCAGGATTCAGTCTATGGAGAGCTGCAGGGTTCAGTATTCAGTCTATGGAGAGCTGGATGGTTCGGTGCTCAGTCTATGGAGAGCTGGATGGTTCAGTATTCAGTCTATGGAGAGCTGCAGGGCTCAGTATTCAGTCTGTGGAGAGCTGCAGGGTTCAGTGCTCAGTCTATTGAGAGCTGGATAGTTCAGGATTCAGTCTATGGAGAGCTGCAGGGTTCAGTATTCAGTCTATGGAGAGCTGGATGGTTCGGTGCTCAGTCTATGGAGAGCTGGATGGTTCAGTGTTCAGTCTATGGAGAGCTGGATGGTTCAGTATTCAGTCTATGGAGAGCTGGATGGTTCGGTGCTCAGTCTATGGAGAGCTGGATGGTTCAGTATTCAGTCTATGGAGAGCTGGATGGTTCGGTGTTGAGTCTATGGAAAGCTGCAGGGTTCAGTGTTCAGTCTATGGAGAGCTGCAGGGTTCAGTGTTCAGTCTATGGAGAGCTGCAGGGTTCAGTATTCAGTCTATGGAGAGCTGGATGGTTCAGTGCTCAGTCTATGGAGAGCTGCAGGGTTCAGTGTTCAGTCTATGGAGAGCTGCAGGGTTTAGTGTTCAGTCTATGGAGAGCTGCAGGGTTCAGTGTTCAGTCTATGGAGAGCTGGATGGTTCAGTGCTCAGTCTATGGAGGGCTGCAGGGTTCAGTGCTCAGTCTATGGAGAGCTGGATGGTGCGGTGTTCATTCTATGGAGAGCTGCAGGGTTCAGTATTCAGTCTATGGAGAGCTGGATGGTTCGGTGTTCAGTCTATGGAGAGCTGCGGGGTTCTGTGTTCAGTCTATGGAGAGCTGCAGGGTTCAGTGTTCAGACTATGGAGAGCTGGATGGTTCAGTATTCAGTCTATGGAGAGCTGCAGGGTTCGGTGTTCATTCTATGGAGAGCTGCAGGGTTCAGTATTGAGTCTATGGAGAGCTGGATGGTTCGGTGTTCAGTCTATGGAGAGCTGGATGGTTCGGTGTTCAGTCTATGGAGAGCTGCAGGGTTCGGTGTTCAGTCTATGGAGAGCTGCAGGGTTCAGTGTTCAGACTATGGAGAGCTGCAGGGTTCAGGGTTCAGTCTATGGAGAGCTGCAGGGTTCAGTATTCAGTCTATGGAGAGCTGCAGAGTTCAGTATTCAGTCTATGGAGAGCTGCAGGGTTCAGTGCTCAGTCTATGGAGAGCTGCATGGTTCAGTGTTCAGTCTATGAAGAGCTGCAGGGTTCAGTGCTCAGTCTATGGAGAGCTGCAGGGTTCAGTGCTCAGTCTATATATGAGCTACGGGGTTCAGTGTTAAGTCTATGGAGTGCTGCAGGGTTCAGTATTCAGTCTATATGACTGCAGGGTTCAGTGCTCAGTCTATGGAGAGCTGCAGGGTTCATTTGTTCTAAATCTACCATCATTCATCCATTGAAAGTTATACAGCGAAGTCAGGGAGAGAGGTGCAGGCAGCATGGCAGTATCGCCAATTCAATCCATTACTGGTGATGCGAGGGGGGAGTTCTAAAAATGTGGCATGCCAGCCTGCAGTGCGTGTATGCCGGGTTACATGGCAGCCGTGATAACCAGCCCCATTCAAATTGATTGATTTTATCTTATACAGAGCAGATCACAGAATTGTAAACATTCATAAACATCAAGTGGGAAAGCATGTCAAAACTACCATTGAATCCGATTCACATTGTTATAGCACCGTATCCACGGCAGCTCGCAGAGCGGGCATGTTTAATGACGCCATAATGCTGCATTTATTGGAGACATTTCTCTGTCCCCAAAAGCAGGACATCAGAAAGGAAATGGGCCCAAATCAGGATTATTGTGATCAGTACCAGAATGTTTAAGTGTAAAAAAAAAAATGGAGTGTTTATAAATAGAAGTCCAAAATATTACAGAAAATCTATAACCCCTTCAGGTAAAATGTGCGTTTGGACCGCTGACGGTCCTGAACCGTCACAGCGAAAAACGGAGTGCGGGAAGCGATCAACCAGGCAGATAGTTACAGCCAATTGCGGCGTGTGAGTGATCCGCGATCGCTCACAATTGGCTGCTGTCAAAGTGGGTGTTACAAACATTCACTTTGACAGTGATCTCTGCCCCTCTCTCCTCTGTAGCGTTTTGTGAGGCTGCAGCAGTGTTCAGTGACCATCAGAAAGTATCAGTATTTTATTTAAAAAATCACCTTTTAACCCCTTCCCTGTCAGATCTGTTACAGCAGTGCATTTGTACTGTCTGTATACATAGGGGTATCCCTGTACTCGGGAGATGTTGCTGAACATATTGGGTTGTTGTTTGGCAGTGATACATAACAGGATCTGTTAATCCATGCCTAAAGTACAATGTGTGGGGAAAAAAACAGAAAAACATTTACTAACTCAATCTTTGACAAAGCCTGGTGGTAGAATTAGTGCATGGAAAGTGTTAAAATACCACCATGTGAAATACCCTAGGGTGTTATCTTTTCAAAAAATATGGTTTGATGGGGGTAAAATACATTGGCCGGCTTCAAAAATGTCCCAAATAGGACATGCATGCAGGTTGACTACATGTCAGAATTCCAAGCTGGGAAACTGATATGCGCACCTGCCAAACGTGGCCTTTTAGCCCCCCAACAACCCGACACACCTATACATGGGGGTATCCCTGTACTCGAGAGATGTTGCTGAACATATTGGGGTGTTGTTTGGCAGTGACACATAACAGGATCTGTTAATTTATACCTGAATTACAATGTATGTGAAAAAAAATAAAAAAAATAAACTACTGATGCAACGTTTGGCAAAGGTTTGTGGTAAAATGGCTGCATAGAAAGTATAAAAATATTCTTAGATGAATACCCTGGGTTATCTGGTTTTAGAAAAATATATACATGTGGGGTGCTGTTTGGAGATTTATGACAGATAATAGTGTTACAATGTCACTATTGATACATTTGAAAAATATATATTTTGAAACAGCAATTTCCTACTTGTACTTATAGCCCTATAACTTGCAACTAAAAGCAAAAAAACACGTACACACTGTGTGTATGGGAACAGTAAATGAGAGAGCGGAAAATTACAGCTAAACGCAAACACCACAAAAGTGTTAAAATAGCTCTGGTCCTTAACGCACAAACATCGCAAAAACAGTCCGGTCCTGAAGTGGTTAAAGAACAATTCACAGGATTCTGAACATACTGAGAAATGAAAGTCATGGGTTTCTTCAAAATAGATTTTCTAAGGTTACTGGAACATGGAGCCCGGATAGCTCAGTCG